CTAACTCAACATTTAGTGCATACAGGCAATGTTACAGGAACTAGGCTCCTAGCAGGCACTACTAAACAACTATGGACAAGATACAGACAAGAAAGATTCTGGCCTTCATGGAACTCACATTCCAGGGAGAAAGAGTTCAAAAACAGGTAAATGCACGGACATAATCCAATACTGATCTGAGTTCCACCACACAATTTTACTCTCATGGCCTACTTGACTGCACCCATCATTTCTTATCAGCTAATCCATTTAGTTCCTCCTAACACATACTCCTAACGATGCTTATCAAAATGAAAAAGGATTGTGTGAACAAGTAATTTTGAATTAGTTGACTTCCAAAACAAAGCCTACTCAAAAGTATTTAAAAACTGGATGCTAGAATATTTTAAAGTGGCCTTTTTTGTCACAAAACCCTTCAGTGTACCTTTGGAATTTTCATTTACATATAGCTATAAAGATCACTCCTCCAAGCCCATTTTTAATATCCAAATTTGTTTGTGTATGATAGAAATAATTTTTAAAAGGAATCTTCATAACTCTAAAATATCATTCAAAATTCTAGGTATTTATAGGATTCCTACTTAGGATATTCTGATGCCTTAATTATTTGATTATTGACAAAAATCTGGCAGAAGATATGTTTTACTCAAGTCTATAGGGCGCTCTGGTGGCCTAGATGTTAAAGCGTTGTGCTGCCACTCCAAAGGAATTTGCTATGAATCTATCAACTGCTCCTGGAAAGAAAGATGTGCAAACTCCTCCCCAATGATTTTAGAGCCTTTGAAAAGCGGCTGGAGGATCAGTTCCGTTCGGAGTGATTTCAAGTAGAGGGCACATAACAACTCGTTTGTACACAGTACAGTGTGCTAGCATGCAATGTTAATCTTCTTCACAATGAAAATACTCAAAACACAGTTTTTATTAAGACTAATAATCTAATGCAATGTTACTCTCCGCAAATGCCACTTTGCCCCTGGTTTCTATCTTTCACTAGCCCATGCATCAAAATTCAGTCTAAAAGCAATTATTTGGAGTCTGTGAAATCTCAACTATTTCCCGAGTGACATTCACCAGAACGCTACAAAAGTCGCTAATAGTATCTTAAAGGGAGCAGGTGCTCCAACGATAGTGGATTTGAAATAAACGCGGTAAACAAATAACTAGGGTAAATTATTGATGTCGGAAATGGCATCTAACATAGAGAGGCTAAATGGACAGATAAAACAAGTACAGCCAGAGAACAGAGAGAATCGCTGTGCCTCGCGTTCTGATGTTGTTCAACATGACTAACTCCAAAGCACGGCTTGAACATGGAGCAAAATTCAACTCAGATCTGCTAGGAACACCCAGGGATTCTCTACTCTGGCTCCTTTTTTAATCAGGTCACAGGAGCCCTCAAGTCCTCAGCCATACTGTTTCTATTTCCTGATTGGTCTGACCTCCAAGTATCATGGTGCCAACCTTTCCAAGTCACGATCTCTCGTAACATCATCTTTCTAAGCTGAGCTTGTGCTTAAACAACATTAATCAGCTTTCAAAACTTGGTGGGAGAAGTCTTTAAAAAGGCCGGACACCCACCCACCCCACCACCCCGCCTCCTTTTCTTCTTCTGCCCAAACACTATGATCGAGACTCGAGAGGAGAAAAGCCAATTTTCAGGAAAGTCCCGTTAGGGTTACACTTTCAAATTCAACAGGGGCCATAAACGTGCACAAGTGGAAGTTCACAAGAAAGTATTACTCTCGTAGCAAAGGAGCTTTATTAATAAACATGTGCATCTTAATTTAGAGAAGTCTCGCACTTCAAGAACGCGCATCTTTTACATTAAAGACGGGGAGGGGGGAACCAAAAATAGATGGCAATAATCAAGTACGTGCACACTTCACGGGGACATTCATTTCTCTGCACCACGCTGGCAAAACAGCGACAACAAGACGCCACTTGGGCAGCAGCCCCGACCCTCGGCCTCCAAAGCACCGGTTTCCACGGGTCAAAGCCGTTCTGCAGCCCAGTTCTCACTAGTTTGCTTCTAGTCTACAGTCGCTGCGACTCGCACGCCTTCAGATATTTAAATCCGCTCTTCACTCACTATTTGCAACACAAACAGGGTGAGCGGCCTCCCGACAACTGAGGGATCAAAAGAGGGGGTGAGAGTAGGAGGCGACGCTCCTCGATGCCGCCCGGCCTGGGACCCACCTGCAGGCCGCGGGGCCGGAGGCGGCGGCGCCGGCGCCCCGTCCTCGCCGAAGACGAGTTTGAAGTCGAGCTCGTCGTGGGCGCCACAGTTTGCAGTAGTCATCGGCGTGGCCCAAGCTGCTGCGACTGCTCCTCAGGAGGCGCGGCTGCGGCAGCGGCTCCTTAGCGCCGCTTCATGCCGGGCCGCGCGTGCCAGGAGATCGCAGCTTCGCTGCAAACTTTCCGGGGGGGGCCTGCAACGCCAAGTGTTCCGTCCCCAACTCGAGAGCTGGCCGCACGCCGAGCTTCACCAAGAGGAGCCGGAGCCGCCACCGCCTGTCGCGGTGCCTAAGCCGCCACCGTCGCCTCGGCAGATGCTCCCCGCCCCCCAGCAGCCGCCGCTGGCGCGCTCCCGCGCCGCGCCGCGCACCCGGCCTTACCCCGTCCCGCGCGCCCATCCATTTCCATTTCTTAACTGACCTACAAAGGCAGAGCTAGCTATTTTCTCTCCTTTCTAACTTAACGGTAT